TTCAAAATAATTTTTCAAATGTATTATTTTTTTATTTGAGCAAAGTTTTTCTTATCCGTCATTTGTGATTTCTTTTTAGAAAAAAAAGTGAGAGAAAAAAAAAATCAGATTTTGTATGAAACAAATGATGTATTTTATTTTTTAGCCGTGTCACCCAGACCCTGAGAGAGTTAATGAACGCCCGGCGGCGCCAGCGTTGACGAGGCTGAACAGAGAAACACCTAATTACATCCATCACCTCCTTTCAGCCACATCGATTTTACTGCAGTGATCAATCACAGCCGTCCTGGCTGTTTCAACCGCCTGTGTGGATTAAAAAAAAAGACGTTCTGAGGTTTTTACTTCAGGGAGTTTTCCTTCCAAGATCTTAGTGTTCAGGCTTTTATCTGCAATCTTGAACAGAGACTTCCTCTTCCTCCCCTCAGGAAACTGATTGCCAGTCAACAACAAATCTAATGCAGATGCAGCTTGGCTTCAACATTAAAACAAACAGATATACAAACATAGGGCATTCCAGTCCTACGCCCTTTACATCGTGACGGTGGAGCATGAATTTAGAGAATCAGAATTCATCTTTTAGGTCATTTGAAAATGTTTTTGGTGTAACAAGACGACAGGACAGGCATTGGAGTCTGCCACCAGCAGTTTGGTGATGGATTAATTCAGCAGCACCTACAGAGAAGTGGAGACAGATCTAAATATGGCTTTAGCTCTGACTGCAGGTAGGTGGAGAAAATGAATAGTATGTGATGTCAACATGTCATGATTGCCATAAAATCCAAAGAATCAACTGGGACCAGACTGGACGTTTTATTTTATTTTATTAACAAGTGACAACGAATGAACCAAGGATTTATTGATGACGTCATTATTTATAGTCTTACATAAAAGCAGATTTTATTGTAGGAAGATGTTGGCATTCATCTACAGTTCCAGTAAAAGTTTCCATCCACTCGTCATCTGCACGAATGTTTGATTATTTTTTGTTTTTTTGTGATAATTTGAACATCTGACCAGAACAAACTAACTAACCTATTAATGTACGAATGAACCAATGAACAAACCAAACCAACAAATGAACCAATTAGCGAATAAATTAATGGAACCAATGATCAAAACAAAGGATGTGCCCGTGAAGCAATAAGCCAAAAAATTAACCAATGAACGAATGAATGAACAAGACAAACCAACAAATGTACAAACCAACATACCAGTGAACCAACAAACCAAAAAATGAACCAATGAATGAACAAATGCACCAATTAAATGTTAAACTGTTAACAAAAATCACCCAACTTTTATGAACTGATCCACTTGCTATATTTACCAAAATTTTAGACAAAAAAAAAAAAACAAAACGTAGAAAATAGCAGAAAATGGCAAAAACAAAATTTCCAATCATACTGTCAGTTTCATTTACCATCAACAGTTGAAATTTATCAAAATAAATCAAAATTCTTATGATAAGAAATCTTTCACAATAAATCATAAGCGACAACATAAACGCGCACTTCTACAACACTTTGGAGCCTAACAAAAGAATCCAAATTCAACTTTAGCAGCAGAATTATAACAGCATCATTCAGGAGTTTATTACCGAGACCTGAATCTCCACTAAAGCTGCAACTTTAAAACTGCTTTCTGCACATTCAGGCCTCAATAAAGAGCTGTTGGTTGTGTTTTGCTCCCAACAGAGCTGGTTTAGTGTTGCAGACACAGTTTGAGCTGGATTATGCGTCCCTAATGAGAGGTGACATGAGACACTCCCTGCCCCCCTCCCACTTCAAGCTGCTCACCTTGTATCAGCATTTCCCTTTTCTTCCCATTTTAAAACACATTGAAAGGCTTACAGAACCAAAACACGGACTACAACTAGATCTACCTGAAAATTCATGACATAAGGACAGGATGCATTATTCAAATGACTCGCTGGGGCCCATCAATCATTAATGAGGATTTTCTCATCATGGTGAGAGAAAATGGAAGCTGGAAGTATCTTTATAACCTCAGAAATCAATTAGCTAAAAAGAAATAAACACAAAAAACCCACATCTTTAGTGTTCATTCATGAGCAGCTCATTCTGTTTAACATTGCTGGAGTGTAAATTAACAGTTTAGCTGCATCAACACCTGTAACATGACCTGTGAGATGTGGGCATTGTGTGCTTCGCAAAGCCAGCTGGACAGAAATAGTGAGTAATTATAGACGGTTTGACTCGGGAGATATTTGATACGATCAGATGTGCTCCAAAACGAGGTCATAAAACAGAGCAGCACAGGGAAACCAGAACTTTCGAACAAAGAGTGACCTCCAAAGCTGTGACGTGTCGATGCACACATCACCACACTGCAGGAGAGGACTGCAGGTGGATGGGAAAACGGTTCACACCGTTCCCTGAGGAAGCAGGATGACTGCAGAGATGGCAGTGGCTCCAAACAACTGAATCAGTTTCTCTTTAGGCTGATTACAGGCCCGACTAAAGGAGGCACGAAAAACTAAAAGAATCAGAAAAGACTCTAAATAAAAGGCTGAAACGATTAATCAAATTAATTGTGATTAATCAGATTAATCGTAATTAATCAACTATTGAAATAATCTAGCAAACTTGTTTTTTAATCAAATTACTTTGATTTTTAATCAGTTTAATTGTAATAGTGATAAATCAGATTAATCATGATCAATCATTAATTGTGATTAATAGTGATTAATCGCTTATTGAAATAAACTAATTTGTTTTTTAATCAAATTAGCTTGATTTTTAATCAGATTAATAACAGTTAATCAAATTAATCTGATTTATCATAATTAATCTAATTCATCTTGATTAACCAGAGTAATTATGATCAGTCATTGAAACAATCAACTATTTTTTTTAACCTTCATTTATTTATATTGTCTCACTGAGGTCTAAGAACTCATTTGCAAGACTGAACCGTTTTGATAAAACTAATATAGTAATCGATTAATCGTTCACTAAAGGATACACACTGAAATAAGAAGGCATTCAGAGCAGTAATTATGCCAAAACTGTACAAAGTACAGATACATTTTGGATTTAAGATAAAATAACGCCTTTGTGCATAAAAACGTTTTATCAAAAACTTCTCAAGTGACGTATTTTTAGTTTCAAGTGTGTCAAATTTACTACAGAAATGCTACTTTATTCATGTTAGGCAATAAAATGTTTGTTTTCTTATTTAAAAAAAGTAGTGGACTATTTATTTGAATCTTTTAATGTAATATTCTATAAAAACTCTTATGTGGTTTGAATGTGCCCATTTTTAAAATCAGATTAATTAATTACTCATCAGAATAATTGATGACTATAATCGTTAGTTGCAGACCTAAAATAGAGACAATGAAATGGTAAAATCTATTCAAATCTTCGATGACTCACAGAGAACAATTAACAATGCAAACTGCTCCTCTGCACAGTTCCCCTTTCAACGTCAACAGTCAGCTGGTCACGTTTAGCTCTGGAGGCCATGAAACAAAAACAAAAACATTGTTCTACCAATATTTTGTTTTTAGGATTTTTTGGATTAAAAATGACTGGATTCAGGGAATGAATCTCAGGAAACAATGACCTTGTTTTGTTCTCCATTCAACCAGAAAGAGAAAGGAGCATCCAAACCGAAGTCCAGCCGTTTCAGATACTCAGAGTTTACTTCCTTTCACTTCATATTTTTGAGGATGGAACTTCAACAATTGTAATCAACTAAAGATCAATGCAATAGCATTTAACCTGATCAACTAAGAACATTTCACAGAGGATCTGAAACAATGGCCGGGAGAGGATCCACAATTTCAGAGAGATTACTGCAGGATTATCACAGCCTGCATATGGCTCCTCACTATCTCAAGATAACCGCTCCTCAGATAAATCCCTTTAAAGGCCTATGCAAATATACTTTTATTTTATTAACATATGACAAACAAGAGAGCTCTGTAGTTCAGTGAGGGAAGCAGAAAAGGTCAGAGAAGAGTCCAAACTTTTTATTTCAGACCAGTACTGATGGAAATTGACATTAATGTTTGAAAATAATAAATAATAATAAAGAGTACTGATCAGTCCTCAATTCTCATCCAGAGCTGTAGGGCTCAAACTCACCATTATTCTAGTAAGTAAATGATCTTTTCTTTAAATGGCACATTCTGCAGATTTTTTTATTACATAATCTTTTTTTAATATGACATTAGAAATACAATAAAATACGCAAATAAACACTAAAAACGTATTATATAAAATGCAATACCATAAGGATGATCTAGTGATTATTTTTTAGATTAACTGATTAATGACTCAAAAGCAAAAGATTCTTAATAGATTTAGTTTTAAAAAATATGAAATGGCAAAAGATAAAACTATGCAACTTGAGTAGTTCTAGGTAAACATATTTAGAGAAAAGCTTTGTTTTTCAATTTTAAATGCAAAATGTATGTATTTTTAGAACAGTTTTGGCTTATTTTATATATATCTTAAGTTATTTGCTGTTTTTATCTCTTCAGTAATATACTAAAATAGTGTCTCATACCTAAAATAAATATTTAAGACAATTTTATTTATCTGTAAAAATCTCTCGATACTTGCAAACCAAGGGGCCAAACATAATTCTCCAGAGGGCCACAAATGGCCCCTGGGCCACACTTTGGACATCCCTTCATGAATTATTGCTCTGAATGCGCTGTTCATTCAGCCTTTCTTGAGTCTGTATACTCCAGTTAATTATTAATCAATTACTAAATTAGTTGACAATTATTTCAGTAACTGATTAATCACGATTAATCGTTTCAGTCGGAGTACTCCCCAGCCCTTCCTAAACATTTTTAGTTTTGTTGCGTCTTCCTCAGTCCCTCTCAGTCTTTCTCAAATGTCGTCAAACGACCTCTGACCTCTTTAGTCCTGCACAGTCTTCTTCAGTCTACCTCTCCAAGTCCCTTTTTGTCCCCATCAGAAAGGGTCAGTGGTCCCTCTCAGGACTCTCTAGCCTCCCTCTTCCGTCCTCCTCAACACTCTTCAGTTCCCCCCGGTCCAGTTCGTCCTGTCTCAGTCCTCCTGACACTTCCTCAGTTCTGTTCAGTCTTCCTCGGACCTCCTAAGTCCCCTTTCAGTGTAATTAGCAGCAGCTCCTCAGGAGCTAGCTTAGCCATTTGTGGCTTTAACTCTTCGGTGTTTTCCTTGAAGCGGAGGAACATCTGTTGAACAGAAACCGTTCGGATCGTATTTACCTGGAACTTCAGAGCTTCCTGTCCATAGTTTGTTCCCGGATCACTGCGCAGTTCAGTCCGGTCCAAGTTGTCTGATCAGCAGAGGAAGGGAGGAAAAAAAGCTGCTCAGCTCCTTCTTTCTCTAACTCTGCTCATTACGCTCCGATCGACGTCAGCCACCAAATTAAACCGTTAAAATGCGAAACCTTTTCCACTTCCGTCGACTTCCCCTCATTTCTGAGAATCTATCTCCACCTAAAACTGAACTAAAGCTTTATTTAGTCTCGGTTCGGCTCGGTATTTCCCCCACAACGCCTTGTTGGGTGGTTTTTACGGCCTATCCCGAAGCCAACGAGTCCAAGCTGGCTGAAATAAAATCACAGCTTCCGGTTGAGCGTTTCAAAATAAAACCTATTAGCCTTGAATAGTGGGCAACTATCTATGAACGCTAGCCAAATATTGAACATCTACAGCTAACCTTAATACATTTATAGTTTTGATACAGGTAATACATTTCAAATGTTAACGCATTAACATTTTTGTGTGCCTATTCTTAACTCCGGAAGTGAGATGAAAGATCCGCTACCTTGACAGCTTCTTTCGCTCTACTTGCAGAAAGGAACATAAGAACTCATAGCAGATTGGGCAATTTTTCATTTGCGAGCGCCCTCTAGCGATTCTTTACATAAATTAACAGTAAGTGGAGAAAAAAAGCGGAGCTATAAGACTAATTTATTAATTTAATTTACTAATTCATTCATAAACAAAATTTACCAGAGTGCTCAGAGATGTAACATATGTCTTATCATAAATTTTTACAGCACAATATTTTTACAATACAAGTCTGTCTGCTTATCAGAGAAAGACATTTAGGAAATTAAAGTGTGATGATGAGGCAATTATTGCTCGCATGTATTGCGTATAAAATATATAGTGATTTTATATTATTAAAAATCAAAATGAACACTTTCTACCTCATATAAATGTGACAGTAGCGATTTAATGTGTTAAAAACATTGTTTAACTGATTTATCTGCCCTTGCAGATTTTTTTTTGCATCCTGATGAGGGCGCCATAATACACCTAATGCACTGAAGTTCGATTTCTGCTAATCAATAGAGAAATCAAGATGGAGGTTTGTGGGTTAGTACTAGAAGTGGTTATTTAGTGTTTCTGTTGAAAACAACAGAAAATAACAAAACAATTCATTATTTCAGGTAAACAGAAATTTAATTAGTTTGTAACTTGCAGCAGCTTATGTAGAGATGCATGATTTTCTTGAATGGGAAGAATCTGATTTGCATGCTCAACAAATTGATGTTTTCTTATGATGAAGTGACAAATCATGCAATTATCACGTTTTATTGCTTTGCTGATTAGCATTGATGGACAGTCAACAATTAAACCATCCTCTTATTCTGTGTTACACTCAGGGTTTTATTTAAAGCCAAATTAGAAATCTAACATATTTTGTCCTTTTCCTGCAGCCACACAAACAAGACCACTGGTTCTGCCTTAATGAAGTTTTTCCTGTTATTTTAAGTGTTATTGGTTCATGGAAGTGACTCCTCCTCGGATGAGTGATGGGAACTTGTTAAAGTTGATCCTATCTGCTTATACCTCAGGGAACATGGAGGGGGGTTCTTGCAGAAACATTTCCTTTAAGTTAAAGACACGGACTGAGAGACGAAGCAGGAAGGATGTCTTCAGTCTTCAGGAGAGCCACACTGACCAGACTGCTCTTCATGAAAACTGTTCAGCAAAACCAAAGGGAAACCATCTACAGCAAACCGCCGAAGGAAAAGATCAGCCCAGAGGTAGGACTGACTATTTGAGCAAATCTGTTTGTAATAATGTTCTATGAATGTATGACAGCAAGTTAGGGCCATTCTAGACAGAAAAAATAAAATAAAAGGAGGAGTAATGTTCAGCCAAACTCAGAGATTCAGAGATTAATCTCTGAAATTTTCTGGATTTTTTTTTTTGTTGTTGTTGAAATTTCTGAACTTGAAAAGTTGAAATTTGCTATAAAAATATGAAATTTTGAGGTTAATTTCAGAAATGTTCCAAGATAAATAATACATTTAAGTAATGAATTAATTGTGAGAAAATAAATTGAGACTAATCTCAGAACTTTTCTGGAAAAAACTTGGAATTTTCTGAATGTCAAATGTTGAAAATTTATGAGAAAAAAAATCTGAAACTTTTAGATCAATCTCAGAAATTTTCTAGAGAAAACAAGGACATTTCTAAGCTCCAAAAGTGACAAATTTGTGAGAAAAGAAATCTAAAATTTTTTGATGAATCTCAAAAGTGATCTGAAATTTTGAGTTTCAAAAGCTGAATTTTTTTGTTTTACCTATGAAACACAGAAATGTCCATGTTTTTTCTAGAAAATTTCTGAGATTAGTCTGAATATTTCTCAGTTTTTTGGCAGTAACGTACTCCCTTTTTCTACCTAAATGAGTCCTAATCCTCTGTGGTAGAAATGTGATCAGTAATATTGTAGTTTTCATGTAAATTAACATGAAACATTGTTAAATTAACCACATTTTAAGATCCACTGGACCTTCAAACCTGTCTGAGGAGAGCAGAACCTCTTCTGAGTTACTTTAATGCGATGAACTCAAGCGAACACTGCGCTCTCCTCTGCAGAGTGGGGGAGATGTTTTATTCATTCTGCAGGCTTTGGCCTCTGAAAAGGGATCCAATGATACGACTGCAACACAGCAGCAAACATTTATGCCGCTATAAACCTGCTGATCTGTCCTCTGGGACCGACTTTTATAACCAGTTAGGAATACCAGAGCAGAGAGAGAAATTTCATGGAAGGACAGCATATAACTGTGTTTGTGGTTATGACTCACAGGTGTGAAGACAAACAGAAAAATATAAAATTTTACCAAGAATTTTGGTTGAAAATATATTAATACACTTAAAATAACTTACAGACAACTTTTCAGACGGCTATAGGAGCTTGTTTTAAGTCAATAATTCCTTAATATTGATGAAAAAGTTCTGGTTCCACTGGCAGATTATTTAACTTTTAGGAAAAATGTTTTGTTATAAGTGAAACAATCAGCCAGTGGAAGTATACTTAACAAAAATCAACATTAAGGAATAACTAGCTTAAAACAAGCTCCTATTTCTTGCTGAAAAATTATTTGTAAGTTAGTTTTGTCTCATTTCCAGTGTAATAAGATATTTGCACATCAAACTAAACCAAGTTACTTGGTTTACATGCTTTGCATGCTTTTTCTGAGACATTAAATCTCTATAAGTGACTTATATAACTACTATTATGCAATTTTAAATGTTTATCACATAAGAAATTGACAAAACCTTCAGATTATGTGTGTGCCTGCATTACAGCAGTCTGCCTTTGCCCTGTGTGTGTTTGGGGCGGCCCTGTTGGTGCCGGCTGGATGGATTCTGCATCATGTCCCAGAATACCGGCAGAGATCGACTCCTTGACATCCAGAGGAAACCAAATAAACGTCAAATGATTCTGATTTAAACAGACTCTCTGGTTAATCTGTGTTTCAAATCTGTCTCATTTTAAGTTACTGTTTCTCAGGACTTTTGTTTGTGAAAGTGGTTAAAAAATAAACTTCACTTACACAGATTCAGACAGAAGTTTGTTTAAGTTTTTTTATTTACGTTATGGAAATTTTGAGTTGTTTAATTTGACATTTAGTTGTGTCTAGTCCAAGTGTAGCTTCAGAAATCTAGAATGTAATTACAGATAGTCAGAAGAAACAGATTTTATTATAAAACTGCCTTCCATAAGTCACCAATTATTTTTCTTCTGTGTTTTTCTCAGGTTAAATGTTTTTTCATAACCTATGAATTTACTTTTCATTTGCTCCATAAATGTGTTTCATTTAACCCAATATCGAACATCTTTCCTGGATTACGTGGTTTTATTTTAAGCTTTACAGATTTCTGGATCATTTTAAATGTTTTTATGAGATGTAAGCAGAAAATCGTCATCATGCAGAGAAATAAAGATGTAAAAACATGAATTTATTTAATAAATTCAGACCTATCTGTCTGTCTGTCTGTCTGTCTGTCTGTCTGTCTGTTATTATACGTTATTTGTTGCTTCTTCCTTGCTGAGCGGCTTTTCAGGAAATGTAGAAGCAGGATTAATTTCTCTCATTGTTCCTTCATCATCTTCCTCTTTTTATTTGGTTTTTCAGCTTATAGACAGATTTCACACTAAAACCCATCTCAATTTTTTTTTTTGCATTATTTGAGCTTTGAAGCATTGCATGTTGCTATTTTGACCATTTCTCATTTTCTTCTAATAAATATAAATTTTTTTGCCTGGAGTTTCAAAGACATGTTGTCAATAGTTCATAGAATAAAAGAAAAATGCTCATTTTACTCAAACATAAACCTATAAAAAGTAAAATCACAGAAACAGCTAATTTTTTTCAAGAGGTATATAGCTGCAAATAATTGTCAACTGGAAATTGATCCCAAAAATTTACCAGATTTGTAGAAATTTACAACTTTTTTTGTGATATTTGCCTTGATTTTGTAAAAAATGTTTATATCACATGAAAGAGTTTCAGACCTTAAAACTGTGAGTCTTGGAGCTCAAAATACATTTACAACAATAAGACTAACAGACTATGTTGATAAAATGTTGGATTTTATATCTGCAGACATTAAAAAGCATCATAATGTTGGTGTCAGATTAAAGCAGGTAAAAAAAAACATCTGTTGCATGTTTATTCCTCTTAATCTGCTACCAATACTGACGTGTTCTGCGGGTTATTTTTATGTAAAATAAGCGTCAGGGTTTTCCTTCCTGTTTTCAGCTCATTGGGTTGTTCGGATTCTTGAATGACAATTTGTCAAATCCGGATCAGTCCATTTGGAAAGGGATGCAGAGCCAGAACCCAGCCAGCGTCCCGCTTCATATCAACAGAATAAAAATAAAAAACATCCCCGGGATGAAGACTTGAGCCATAAAACGGGTTCTGGTTTAATTTTGGTTAAATGTGGATGAGTAAAACCGACGCAGCGCAGCGCTTTGTCCGCGGCGCAGATGGTCCAATCAGACGGAGCCTGGCTGGAGGAAAGGGCGCACGCATCCAGTGAGGGAAACACATCACCGGGAGGGACATTAAACACCAAAACACCTGACAGTCCGGGTTTATGTCTCCCGAAGTGTCTGCGAAATGTCCACGAAGGCAGAGCAGTGTGAGTACCGGAGCGTGTGCGTGTTTTCTCTCCCTCTCCCCTCCCTGTTGGTTCTGGAGAAATGTGATTTTTTCTTTTAAATTAAATGTAACCAAGAGAGCGACATGAGGGGGATTTGGGAGCTGTCCTTGGTGATGAACGCGTCCTCTCACTGCGGAGGATGATGATGATGAGGATGATGATGCTGGTCGCGGTGTTTCGTTTCCGTGTGAATGATTGACGTGTCTGCGTGGCGTGAGGATGCTCTCAAGGTCGAGATGAAAGGTTCGGTTCTGACAGGATCAGATGGTGGGATTTTGGTCCCTCGGTGTTTAAATCTGTTGCTGCAGAGATTTCCCCTTCGCTTTAAACAGGTTGCAGCTCCCTGCTGCTGCTGTAGGAAACCTGGGGTCAGACGTTGCGCCTTAAAGTTGTCTGTTGCTTTAAAAAAAGAATCCTGTTGCTGTGGTTTTACTAAAATACCCCAAAATAATGTTGATTAAAACCTTAAAGGTCAGTGGTTCTGACAGATATTAACATACAGAGTATAAAAAGACAAATAATCATTTTTTTCTTGCTGTCTGACATTAAATCAGAGTTAATATTTAGAGTTTAGGTCAGTCAGGATTTTTAAAATTATACTTATTTGATAAATGCCAGAATAAAAGGAGACAGACAGAAATCTTATGTTTTTAACTCATATTTTTGTTGCTGTGTTTATAATGTTTTATCAAAACAGATCTCTCTTATAAATTATAGGTTGGATGCTAATGAAACAATTAATGTCAAAAAATATTATTAATTGAGTCATATGCTTATAAATTAACCTTTGAATAATTAGTGAAATCTCAGACTATGATGTTTTTTATGACAAAATGAAAAAAAATCACAATAGACATCCCAAGATAAACATATTTAGGTGTGAAGTGTGTTAATTGACTCCAGAAAAAAAGCAAAAATCCTTGTGAAAATGTTAGCTGAAGTTGCTAAAAGAAACACTCGGTGAGAAAGAAGGCATATATTAAAAAAAACAGATTAGAGGACTGGAAATACACATCTGGCAGAAATATCCTGCAGTCTGATGAAGCTAAAATGTGTTTGTCAGGAAATGAAGCTAAGCTTTACATGATAACAAATTTTACAATAAATTATCCTGATATTAATTGCGATAAATGATAATATTGTTGTTCTGAGACGATTTTCAAGTTATATTTAACATAATAATGCAAATACAGCCTCTCAAATTTCTAAAGAACATTTCACACTGGAACTGGAAGACAGTTTGAATATCCAAAATAAATAAAAAGACAAAATAACCAATAAATTGGATACTGAAGTTTCTGTGATAAAAAATATCCTTAAAAATGGGGCTTATTGAGACCAGAGTGGAGCTTTTTGTCATCCGGTCTTTGACAGAAAGTGAAAGTCAAGGTGAACAAGTAATTATGTGAACAATTATTGAGCTTGTTTTAATTGATCATGATATTAATTGCAACAGGCCTAGTGAAAGCATCATGTTCATCTAAACGTCTAAAACTCTAGCTTAGGTGCAAATCCATCTTCCAGATTGACAGAGATGCCTAATTGTAGCATGAAATTAGCTACAAACTGATTTAATGCCAGGAAAGTTAATGCTTTGGTGCGTCCGTCACAAAGTCTTAGACGAAGAGAAGAACGGTGGGAAGAGATGAAAAGATGTGCGAGTAAGAGGCCTTGACCAGCTGCACCAGTTCTGTTGGGGGGAATGGGCCAAAATTACAGCAAACTATTATGACAAACATGTGGAAGGAAAGCAGAATGTTTGACCCAAGATATATGGTTTAAATTAAATATTAAGACGAATGTATAAACCTCTGAGTTTCAAGACAGTTAACCCTCTCTCGTGTTATTCTGGCATTCAGATAACAAAAATAATTTTGGGAATCCTAAATGACCTAAACCAAGAAAAATGAAATCTGACTTAAAGTCATAATGTAAGAAAAACTGTTTGGTGTGTTTTCACACAGTGCAGTGCAGCTATTCTTACAATTGATCGATTAATCGATTAATCGGATATTCTGATCCAATATTAGAAATGTGATAAAAGTTGCAAATAAACTATTTAATTCATTTTTTAAATTTAGATAATAAGCAATGGCATGGCTGGCAGCCTTTATTTTCAGGGTTGGTCATTTACAGGTCAGAGAGTTAGAGTCTCTACTGAAGCAACAGAAACCGGGTCAGCATGTCTCTGCTCCAACTCTGTTTATATTTCAAAAACAACAAAGTCCCATAAACACCACAGGGAGCAGAAGAACACAGGCAGCCAGCTGGGCTCAGTGCTGAAATGTCCCACAGTGTCATGTGTTAAAAGTGCCTTCCCACGTTCACACAGACCAGATTTTCCCAGCCAGTACTGGGACTTGAACCAGCAGCCTTCTGACTATGAGCTAGCAGGCTGCTGCTGCCTCCTCTAGGGGTTGCAGTGACCTTGCTGCAGCACGTTAAAGGTCAGCTGGTGCAGCCCTGGGAACAGAGAAAAGGTTTAAATGTAATTTAAACATCCATGTTGTGAACTGCAGAGCTGCACATATGGATCCCTGCCAGGAAGCTGCAGAAAATCTGATTCTAAGGTCCAGATTGTTGACTCAAAAGTAACTGTGTGCCAAAAACCCCCAACACAAAATCAAGCAAATAACATTGCACTTTTTTTTATTTTAATTTTTTTTATAAGTGGATATTTAGAGAAATATCCACTTAATGTGGCTATGAAGTGGATATTTAATATCCACTATCCAGAATTTTCAAAACTTGAAAATTCCAATTCAAAACTTGGAAGGGATTTTTATGCCAATGTATTAGTAAGTAAAATAAAATAAAATAAAAGGCGACATAAATTTCCACCAAAGCCTTCAGAAATTTTGTGATTTATCTAACATATTTTTGAGTTCCAAAAGTAAAAAATGTTCAACATTTGAAACACAGAAATGTCCAAAAATTTTTGTAGAAAATCTCTGAGATTAATCTGAAACTTTTTGAGTTTTTTGGCAGAAATGTACTCCGGCAAACTGCAAAACTCCAGACGTCATGTTTGTTTTACTAACAGGAAGCCGCTGTTGTTTTGAAGGATTCTGATTGGCTGTCAGTTTTAGCTTTGCGCCACACTGCCCCCTATGGGTTTGGCATATTTAAAACAACCTTCAGTGGCGGATTGGATGGAAATGTGGTTTTATTTTTGAAACGATTCGGCGGAGACATTCGTTATCATCATTTATGTGCAGTTCTGTGTGTTTGTGTGGAGATAAAACAGTGATTTCTTACTCTGCTCTTTATTTTGTCTAGTTGCCTCTAAGATACGATACTTGCAAGAGTATCACAACCGTGTGCAACACAATATTTACCCTGTGCCCTCCGGAACAGACATTGCAAACACACTGAAATACTTTTCCCAAACCCTCCTCAGGTAAGTACTCTGAGTGCATAGTAAGTATACATGAAGTTCAACACATTAGGTTATTCCACACACTGCTGAAAGGGATGACAGTGACACCATACCGAGCAGGACAGGAAGTGGAGTTAGATTCGTGAGGAAAGCAGCGTATTTGAGTCTTTTCAGGGTGTTAGCGTGGAGGTAGATGGTGGTGTTTACTGATTCAGTGCTCAGCTGCCATGAGTTTTCCCTCGCCTCGTCCTTCCCAGGAGGGTGAGGGGCTGCTGCTCTGACTGTGCAGCCGGAGGGTCAGGCTGCTCTCCTGGGTGCTGTGAAGAAGGAACAGTGTGTTATTTCCTTCTCCGGTGGGGTCAAGCAGGCAGCCATTTTAGACACATCCCATTTTATGATGTGTCATTTCCTGATTTTTCTTATCTCAGTTGCAGGGATTTGAGTTTTCAAGC